ACCCTATACACCCTAAACCCTATACCCTATACACCCTAAACCCTAAACCCTATACACCCTAAACCCTAAACCCTAAACCCTATAAAAACCCATTTCCGCAGAATGCTTGGGCCTCGGGACGGCGGCCAGCCGCTCGAAGTAGCTCAGCAGCGGCCTCTTTCACGAAAGGATTCTTTAGGGTTTTAGGGGTTTAGGGTTTAGGGTTTAGGGTGTTTAGGGTTTAGGGTTTAGGGTTTAGGGTTTTAGGGTGTTTAGGGTTTAGAGTTTAGGGTTTAGGGCTTCGGGTTTTAGGGGTTAAGGGGTTAAGGGGTTTAGGGTTTTAGAGTTTCAGGTGCCAGGTTTTTTGAGTTTAGGGTTTTGAGTTTAGTGTTTCAGGGCTTCATGGAAGGTTCTAAGTTTTTGAGTGGGCTTCAGTTGCGTCTAAGGATTCAATATAGCTTTCTTTCCAGGTAGCTGTGAGCATAGGACTGCAACAACAAATGTCTCCAACAAATGGCAGGACGGAAGATATGAGCAGCGCTTCCTGTTTTGGATGAGGCAAGTAGAATTGAATTCCACCTGAAAAATACAACGGCAAAATGCAGGATGTAGTCTTACTCTGTAGTGGGGGGACGATCATGAAGTTACACCCTAACACCTCAACCCTCAACCCCTATCCCCTAAACCCTAAGCCCCTACTCAGCTTGACTGCGAAGGAAAGCACCGACCTCGAAGTCCTCCGCGGCTGCCAGTGGCCTCGAGGCAAGCTGGACTCATTCAAATTAGGGTTTAGGGTTTAGGGTTCAGGGTTTTCTATAAACAGGAGCTGTTCGGCTACCCTAGAACCCCCGATGACTACGATATAAGTCCTATAGTGTCCTTCTGTTAAGCCCCCCCTTAGTAGATAGAATATGGCTTTGGGTATATTATAATACAGGAATTTTTTTTTTCACCGCGGACAGCTTTTTTCTGACCGTGGATCCTTTGTTGACTGACTCTTTTTTTCTGACCGTGCACGTCCTTTCCTTGACTGTATAATAAGATCCCCAAATACCCCATATTCTGTGTACTTAAGGGGGACTATAATCCCCGAACCCTAAACCCTAAACCAATAAAAACCCCAAGCCCCTGAACCCCAAACCCTAAACCCCTGAACCCTAATAAGCCTACCAAAACCTTCTTATCTTCATAAATCATATGCCAACTTTGCAGCTGAAGCGCTGTTTTGCGCCCATCTTTGCCTCCAAGGATGCCAAAACATGAGCCATTGTTTGAAGGGTTTAGGGTTTAGGGTCTACTACCCTACGCATCTAAGGATTCATTTTTGAAGGATTTGGGTCCCAAAGACCAGGTTGGTAGGGGATTTTGATGCTTAGGCTGGTATCCCCCTTAGTAACCTGTCAAACAGTCCCCTACATAATCCCTTATATAACCCCCTTTAAGGAGTTTAGACGCGTCGCGCCCTAACGTTGGGCG